GTGAAGAATGGGTGGAAGGAGGTATCCAGTGTGAGTGTGTGTGTGAGTGTGAGTGAAGAATGGGTGGAAGGAGGTATCCAGAGAGAGACTGTGTGTGTGAGTGTGAGTGAAGAATAGATGGAAGCAGGTACTCCATAGAAGGCCGGTGTGTCCAGTGGGAAGGGAGTGGTGGGCCACATTGGTGTAGGCCATGTTACCATTGCTTCTGCACCCTCCTTGAGAGCCCTGTGCGCCCCTCCTCTCTGCACAGCTGTGCTTTCCGGGGCCCTTGGAGCCCAGGATCCGGTTTCGGTGGGCGGGCCTGGCCTTGGGGTAAGCGGTGTGAACAGCATATGGATGCAGTGTTGTCGGGGCTCCCTCAGAAGTGTTCTGTACATTGTGTCTCGGTGAACAATTGCCAGCATATGGTTTCCCCAACATCCCCTTTGTTGTGTGGAAACTTCAGCTATGCAGTTAGAATATTTTCCTATCAGCACCGCAGAATTCACATCTTTTGGGGAAGGGTGCACATCACCGCGAAGGGCCCCTTTACAGATGATGACGGGAACAGCCCGGTCAGCGAGTGGGAGTCAGTAGACCTGTCTCTGCTCTTTCCTGAGATGAATAGGGGAGGTGGAGTGGGCTGGGGCCAGGCCCGGCTGGTGGGAGGAAGCCTCAGCTCCCTCTCTGGATGCTGTAATTAAAGTGGGAAGTCTGGCCCGGTTGTTAGCCCTGCTATTAAGAGCACAGATGGCGAGCGGCCACAGGACCAAGAGGTAGACGTGAGACTGTTTAAAGTCTCGTTTTTTTCTTTTTCTTTTATGACCCGCTCCATGTATCCCAAGCTGTATGCCGGGATGCGGATGGCTTGGGATACAGTGAAGAATTTTCTCATTAAAAGTAATGGCTTATTTTCATACACATTCCCGTCTCCTTGGACTTGAGGACCTGCCTATCTGTTGCAGCTTAATAGAGCGTTTGGCCGGACGAGGGCGTCTGGTGGGCGAGTTTTATAACCAATCCGATTGAACTGGAAGGGCTCCGACTGGCAGCCCTTGGCCCCTCTCCCAGTATATTGTTCCCCAGTTCTGATTTAACCCCCACACAACCTGCACCTATTGTCTTAGGGCAAGTACGAACTTGCGATCCCTGTGGCCTGGCAGCCAGGAACCCCCCTGGGAGGAGTGAGTTTGGAGAGAGCTGTGGATAGACGCCCGCTTAACACTCAGCGACTGGCTGGGGCTGGGACTCTGTTGTGTTGCGCGTGGGCTGACTTGGTGGGGATTTGTGCTGGAAAAGCAAATTGGCTTCACTCTGCATCCTGTTCTCTTGTTTTCCCACAGGGAGTGGGGCCGGCCAGCAGAAACAGCGGGCTGCACAGCATCACCTTCAGATATGACAGTAAGTAACCGGCCGGACTGCCAGGACTGGAGCCCTGTCAGCTGTCTAAAGCTTGCCGGGCTGTGGTTACATCCAGGACCCTGCAGGGCCTGTGGTTGAGGGATTTTCTGGACCTGTTAAGGTTTTGTCAATGGGGCTGACGCAGCTCAGTTTCCATTAAGCCACGTAAGGATTTGGGAGTTGGAACAGGTCGGTGTCCTTGGTAGCACTCAGAAAAGTTGTGTACAGAGACCTCCTCCAGTGTCTGAGTGCATGGCCAGATGCTTACAAACACAGATGCTCACAGGGCCCAGCGGGAGGTAAGTGAGGGAAATTGCTCCAGTGCAGGCATTAGGGAATGGTGGAGACTGTGGCCAACTGGAGAATCCAGGTCTTCTCTGAAGGAAGTGTTAGTTCCTTGGCTTCAGCTCCTTATGACCTTGAGGTCATGCAAATTCTATGCTTCCAGTTCCTGCAGCTTCCAAGAAGAGTAGGGAATTTGCCTTTTTAAATGAAATACGGGCAATTATTTCTAAATGTTGACAAACCCAGCTTGGGCCAAGTGGATCTGTATCCCAGGTTGGCTTAGGAGCACCAGTTGCCCACCTCTGACTTAGACTTGGGTTCCAACCGTAGAGTCTCACCTGTGAAGAGCCCTGGGGGGCAGGGGTGCCAGGTCAGCCGTTTGAAACCACCAGCTGCTCCACGGAAGAAAGAGGAGGGTCTCTACTCCTGAAAAGAGTTGTAGTCTAGAAACACACAGGGGCCGTTCTACTCTGCCCTGTTAGGGTCGTGATGAGCCGGCATCGACCTGTGGCAGTAAGTGCACGGAGTCTCATTTCCCAGGGACGTGCACTTCAGCAGGGAACTTGATTTCTCCAAGCCTCACTTTGCTCATCATCAGAAACAAACGTGGATGCCTCCATCCCAGTACTGTTTGAGTCTTCCAGGAAGTTAAGCTTCTCACTGCTCAGTTCAGTGACGGGTCTGAGGGGGCACCCCAGAGTATGTCTTACTGTGGGAAGGAAGTCCTGGGTGGTACAAGCGGTTCCTGTGCTTGACAGCGATTCAAAAGATGGGGAGGTTCTAGGCCAGCCACATTCTGCTCTGGCCGCACGCGTGGGGTCCTCATGAGTTGGAACCAGGCAGCCGGCGACTGTTTCTGTTGTTGTTGACCCTGGCAGTCATTCCAACTGGAGTGAGCACACCATCCACCTTTCCCCTTCTCTAAAGGGTGGGTGAGCTGGTCCTGATGAAGTTAATAGAGCCCCACTGAGCAGCGGCTTCACTTTATTATGAAGCTAGTTACAAAGAACTGTACGCATAGACAGTGACACGAGGGATCCTGACTTGTGCCAACAAAGGCTCCTCACGTGAGCCCCCTCTCTTGAGTGGAGCTCCGAGTCCAGGGCCGAAAGGGCTGTAGGTCACGTTGAGGCCTCTGGATTGGATACTTAGGCCATCAGATACAATCTCACAATTTCAAGGTGACAAATAACGCTTATAGTCCCTGGGATCGGACTTCAGTGAACCCGAGAGGTTGTGCACATACCCCGTGGACTTTTCACAGTGGCTGCGTCAGTGCTGTGATGTGAAGGGAAGATTTACTGCAAGCCCTGATACTGGATTCAGTTAAGTAAAGCCAGGTGGAAGGGATCTATCTTTGAGTCAGAAAGTTAATTTCTGATACACGCTCTGGGTCCTGGCATATCTTATATTACATTCAAGAGTTCAGAATTTTCCGGTCAGCTACAAACAAGCATTCGCATCTCTGATTTAATAAAGGGCTTTGCAGAAGAGGAGCTATACCTGCGAAGCTGAGAAACTCTCTTACCGCTTTCTTCCTGGGGCGGAGTATTTGTCCCGCATGCCTGTTGCTGTCTCTTGGCCATTGCTATCTCATAATTCTTCAGCTTTTGATTAGAATTTAACTCGCAGTGCAGATCGACCCCTAAAACATCTGAGGCTCCGTTGTTGCCTTTTGGCAAAATGTCATCTGGGCATTATGTAACCTTGTAACAAACATTTTGTAACCAGAACCCAGAACTTTAGGCTTAACTAATAATTGGATCCAGGCTGTGTATGAAACACATTCAGTGTTTTCCATGGAAAAAGATATGTTTCTCCTCCATAGGGAAGTTCCTACTCAATTGACTGGTAACTAGTTCTGCTTGAAATAACTTCGAGTCAATTATCAGGTTTTCACCAGAGTTAGAAAACACAGAGATGCTTATTTTTTATTGCATTGTCACTCGATGCTGTGGAGAAAGGTGAAGTCTTCCTCTGAAGTAAAAACTGAATCCTGCAGGTGTCCTTCCACTTGGCATTCCATGCTTGTCCTGTAGGCCCCGAGGGGGTATACCGGAGTGGATATCAGTCTAATTCGTGGACTCTACATTTGCACATTTGTGTTTACAGAAACCCAGAGAGTGTTCATGAGAAATGAAAAAAAGCAAAAAAAATTGTTTTGTTTGGGCCTCTTTCTCTTACGCTGGCTAAGCCCAAAGGCCTCTCTCTCAAAAAACTCCCTGCAACTGTGTCGGGATCTGGTCTTTCTTGTAGAGGTCTCTGATCTCGGCCAAGCCTTTTGTTGTCCAGACCCCTCTTATTATGTTTTTTAAATCGTTTTATTAGGGGCTTATACGACTCTTATCACAATCCATACACACATCAATTGTGTAAAGTGCATTTGTACATTCATTGCCCTCATCATTCTCAAAACATTTCCTCTCCACTTAAGCCCCC